GCCCTCTCCGCCTGCGGTCCGGCACCCCGTCGGAGCTGCCCGCGCCCTGACTTTCACCCCAGTTCCACCGCCCGAACCCAGGACTCCAGCCTCCCCACGGCTTCCCAGCCGGCTCCAGCACTTCGGGTCTTCACTGACTCGGCAGCTCCCCCCACCCCTACCTTTCGTGACCTGCTAGGTCCCGGTGACCTTGCAGATTTTATTAGTAGTCTCTTATCTCGTGCTGACTTGGCCCTCTCCTTTAATTTTATTTTAAAATTTCAATTCTGTAGTTTTGCCCCGTTGCTTGCTTATACAACCTTCAGATAACCAGTTTTGTGTGCGCAAGGATTGTGCAGTCTTTGCTTTACTCCATCGATTGGGAGTTGAGTTTCCCTTGCTCCAGTAATTATATGAAACCTTCATTACGAAAGAAGAGGAGTAGCTATTATAATTTAGACATTTTTACTCTTCTAGGATAAAGTATTTTTTCTAGGAGCTTGATTTGTTTTTCGATTTAAGTTTTTTTTTTTTTCATTTCGCGAAGGCGAATGTACAAGATTTGTTTGTTTTCAAATGCTCTTGGTAATAGCAGTGGAGAGATAACAGCCAGTTACCACCCCATCTCCTTTTTTTTTTATATGAAATACCTAGTTTATCATTTTCTGTGTTTCTAAAAGAGCTCAAGCTTATGTATAAAATTCACTTCACCTGTCTGACCAAACCTTTGTGGATTATGCAAGCAAAATGCACCTTCTAAAAAAGAGGCGTTCTTTCATCTATGTGCACTTGTTTTTAACTATGAAGCAGAATGGCTGTAAGGCAAAGTGTAATTTTTCATAAATAGTTAATATTTTAAATATTGAACATGTAATGGCCAAATGTCAACAGCTACTGAAATTGAGATTAAAATACTGTTTGTGGACTAGTTCGCAGAGACATAGCTTATTAAAATTTTCAAATAGTTCTCATAAAATGTAGAACTGCTTACAAGACCTCCAGACAGTATGTTTTGAAGAACAGTAATTAAGAGTTACGCTTTTTGGAAACCTGACATGATAGGGAATGTCACAGAGAAGGTTTTTTTCCTTCAAAGAGATAGCAGTCTTTGCTCTTTACTCCAGGATGGCTAACGTTTCTTTTACTTCCTTGCACAGTTAGCAGTTACAGTACTGCATGACAGTGCCAAGTATTTGGGGAGTATACAAAGATGAGAACAATTAATATTTTCTGCCTTTGGGAGAGAGAATTATATACACATTCTCCATTTGTCTTTTGTTGTGTCTTTTGGTATATGAAGTTTCACAAACAGTATGAAAATGCTCATAGAATTCAAATTCAAAGGGTGTGGAACTCATGGCAAGGTGGAATTTGAGGAGTGGGTTCTTAGTGCTGGCTTTTGAGCTCTTGAATTTGAAGGATGACTGACTTGATAGCAAGGAACAATGATTAAAGCAGAGAGAGTTCTAAATACAGAGTTCATACGTTTAGGGGTAAACAAGTAACTGGGTGGGACAAAGAATTAGTACTTTATAAAAGATGATAAAGTAAAATTTTGGGCCTTTTAATATACCTATTTTAATTCTGGGCTAATAGCTTGGTTTTACACACAGTGAGGATTCCACAGATGATTTTAGAGCTGGGAGTGAAACAATTTAAAAGCTTTGTGTTAGGAGGGTTCATCTGGTAGCAGCATGTAGGGTGAGTTGAGGTGGGGACCCTGGAGGTACACAGACTCCTGATAGCTGTGGTCGTAGGTAGCGGGGGCCTGAGTTGTGGTTTTAATGCTAGTGGAAAAGAGAAAGGAAGTTGAGTAGATGGAATTTAATGAGCAGGATAACCAAGAAAGTAAAAATAACCAATTCTGATCAAGGAAGACTAGTGGTAGTATTTTGAGTAAGATCCATGGAAGCTTTACCCCCTCAGCATGTTATTTTAATGCAACCTTGAAGAGGTTTCTATCCCTAGGTAAAATTAAAGAAATCTGCTGGCTTGGAAATTTTTCATGTGTGCCATGAATATAAATTTAGGAAAATCCATAGACCACCTGAAGTTCCTCTAAGAAGTCCACGAGTGAGTATGTTGGGCTGGGGGCAGCTCTCAGAATTACTGGAAACTTAAAAATAATAGAACCTTCAGATTCTTGAATTAACTGGTAAGAACCCTACTGTGCAGATGCTATATATATATCTGAAGAACAATATTACACTAGTGGCTTACAATTTGCAGAGAATTTTGAGTGATTTATGTTATTTGCTGTTATATTACAGGACAGACTAGCTCAAGAGTTTATGTAACTTGCCCTAGATATTAGTCAGCAAGTGGGTAAAGTTGGAATCAGAAGTTCATTCACAATGATGCTTTCTTGTATGAAGATAATGTAACAGACTTACTATGAGTTGGATGTAGTTACTGCCTTTAAGTAACCTTGTCAATTAAGGACTAGACCCAGGAGCATAACATTCTTCATTTTTAAGTAATAGTTATAGATACTTTATCATGGGACTGGAGGTAATCTTTACTTTTTGATGAGTATCGTGAGGCTCAAAAGACATCTTAAAAGCTAAATTTCCAGGGCATATGACAAGGTAATGGCCAAAATTAGAACTAAAATCCATGTTTGTGTACCTAGGTCAGTATTCTTTTCCACAAGCTTCTGATTCTTTAGCCACAATGGAATTGTAGTTGTAAGCTGTATGTGAAGATTCTGAATGTACCTGTTAGAAGTGTGGTTAACTTTTGTACTGTGTAGATTTGAACTTGTCCGTTCTGTCTTTGAATTAAGATGGTTATCTCATTGCAGTGGCTATTTGTAGGTAATATTAAATTTGTAAGTATTTTATCGCAGAACAGTTAAACCTTTTGTCAAGGATAAAACAAGTTGATTTCTTGTTTGGAATAATACATTGGTGAAATGTAGGTATTGATTTCTTTTTGAAATTTTTTGAATTTTTAAATTCTGTATTTAAAAGGTGAACTTTGATTCTCATTTGTAAAAGCCTTGTCCTTGAAAATTTGTATTTTTGGAGCATACACATCAGAATCTTATTTCCAAAGTATTTATCAAGTTATTTGCCGTTACAAAGTATACACAATGATTTACTATTACACACCAAGCTTCACCATTAAGGATACACCATTAAAAACCACCTAGTATACACTTAAAGTTCATGTTGAACAATTTTTTTGAATGTATTATGTAAAAGCATATGTCAGACAGTTGTTAAGTTATAGTGGAGAATAACATTTGTTAGTTTAGCCGTGACATTTCTTTAACTTAACATTCAGTCATAACACATACTGGTGTGCTTACTACATGCCAGACAGTCTGCTAGGTACTGGGGTACAATTTTGAGACAGCAGACACGAAGCCCGTGCTCTTAAAAATGAATTTAAAAGAGTTCTGACATCAAGAACATAGACTTTATCTTCTGAGGTTGTGGGAATTTGGGGGAGTATATTTGTAACTCTCCCAGTCTCTGGTGTTTGAACAAACTATGCACAAATATGAGGAACTATATGAACATGCAGTTGCCTATTCCTGTGTAACAAACAACCTTAAAGTAACTGAGTTAAAACAACCATTTTGTTCAGTTTTGCTCTCCTGGATGGAGCTCAGTTGGGTAGTTGTGCTGGCTTTGCTGGTGAGCCCTGCAAAGGCTGGATGTGTTCAGATGGTGGCTCACCTGGAGACTGGACACACATTCTTGTAGTCTCAGAGTCCTTTCCTTTCCCTGTGGGCTTGGCATCAGGGTTGACAGCTTTAACTGGTAGCTTAGTGTTTACAAGAGTGAAAAAGCAGAAGCAACCAGACTTTCTGAAGGCCTAGGCTTGTGGCTGGCACAGGACCACTTCTGCTTCCAGTTGGGTAAAGCAAATTAGAGGTTTATTTACACAAGTTCATGAATCCATTTAAGGCCAACACTGTAACAGGTTTTCACAATTTAATTAATTTTGGATTAGGATTTGAACCCAGGGCCTTCACACTGCGTTATATCCCCAACTATGTGTCTTTGTGAGACAGAGTCATGCCAAGTTTTCTAGGCTGGGCTTGAAATTGGGATCCTCTTGCCCCAGCTTCCCGGAGTGCTGGTGGTTTGAACCACCATAGCTGGCTGATTACACAAATTTGATTTTAAGTATTTAACATCAGCTGTATTACTCAGAACCAGGTCTGGAAAACTGCTTTGGAACCTGAGGGTTAGGATGCTTACTGCTTTCTGCGAATTTAGACTGAATTGTTGCTTGCTGGAGGGAAAGGAAGGGGGAGGCTGAATCTAAGGTGCAAATAGTGGCACAATTGGCTTACCACACCGAAGGCAAGGCAAGAGCTGGAGCTGTTTGCTCAGAAGTGAAGAGGGTTTAGAAATGGAGCCAAGAGGTAGAGTGCCCTGAGGGCCTGGGGGTCAGTGAGGGTAGGGAAGAGAAAGAAAACATGAAGAGGGAATTTTGGACCTCTGTGGTTTGACCTAGTAGCTGCCATAGTGGGGCACAAGTGACTGATTCTGCTTGTGGGCAGTAGGCTCCAACAAAGTGTAGGACCAAGACCCCAGGCTGCTTAGACTCAGTAGTAATTTACTCAGTTTGGTGAATTGGGTCAGACAGTACCACATGCAGAGTGGCTTATGGCTTATGGCTACAGACAGGCAGATAGCTGTGCCCTCAACATGACACCTGTGAGCCCAGACCTCGGCCGGTCAATCTGACCTTAACCATCCTTGACCAACCTGTGCCTCACATGTGTACTTTCTGTTTGCAGTGTCTTCGAAAAAGTCAGGATAAATCTCCTTTTGGGGGAGACACCACTAGAGTGGAGCGAATACTCTTTCCTTCTGGAATCTGGAGTGGAATTCCTTACAGAATATAAGGAACAAGGTAATATTCTTCCCTTCGTAAATTAGTTAGATAGATGCCTTGCATGCTAGCTAGGTTTTTCTCAGTTTGTCGCTACCATTTTCTCACTGTTACTTTGTATTAGTCTCATAGCAGTTTTTGTTTTTTTGTTTTTTTGTTTTTAATTGAAGTTAGCAATTAAGTAGTGGCATAGTTGACTCTGAAATGAAAATTAGTTTAGTTTTGTTGTTGTTGTTGTTGTTTTACATTATGGCTTCTGAGTGGAATAGTGAATTTTTTCACTTAAAGAATTATACTAAAAAAACGGGCCTCTAACCTACTGCAAATCTGCAAATTTCTGAAAATAGTAGATTTGTGGGGAGAAGTTTGATGATGAATGTACTGAGAAACATGATTTATAGAACCAGGAAAGGAGATGGATAGAATTAAGTTACAGTTTTTCTTGAAAGACCTCTTCCTTGCTCTTATTTTTAGTGCTTTAAAAATATGATAACTTTATTTAACTAGGGAAGCCAGCCTCTTTTCATAGGTATTCAGTATACCCGTAATTATGACTAAATAGTATGGGTAGAGGCAAACTGTTGAGTCCTGACTTGAAGTGGAATACCGTGGCTATCCATTAGTCCCAACTTGCCAGGGTGTACTACTCTTTGTATGTGTCCTCTTAAAGAGAACTCGTTCATCGAACCTGCTCTGTATAAATTAAGAGCTTCTTCACCTTTCAAGAAGACAAACTAGATTGCTCACCCCTTAAAAGTTTTCAAGAATACAGGCACTCTTGTCATATGGGTTTAGAGCCGTAGTTTAAAGTCAGGCAGATCTGATCTCACAGTGCTCCTTCATAGCAGTGTTGCCCTCCAGTTCTTTTATAAACTGTAAAGAATACTTTTCTTACTGGATTTTTGTAAGGATTAATTGAAATCCTTGTAAGACAATGCATGGTGGTTGCAATATAAGCCCTTAAATTATTTTTATTGCTCTTAATTTCCAATTATTAAGTCAAATCAAACTGGTAGTCACTTCATAGTGAGCCATTCATTTTTCAAAGCTAGTGTAGCTTAGTTTTGGTTTGATCATATCAGTCTCACCTCTTAATTTTAAAAATCAATTATTAAAAGATTAAGGATGAACCTGGGAAAGATACAGACCTAATACAGCAGGCAGTGTCAGCCTGTGATGGTTTGGTCATGCAGCCTGGGAACAAGAAATTGTTGACATTACCACGATAGATAAAATACGGTGCACACCAGTGTTTTTCAAAATGCAGTTCTTGTTTCACAGTCATACGGGGCATTTGTTAAACATGTGGGTTCTTTAATGTCTTCCAAGGTGTGTAGTGTGGTCCTTGAGAGGGGTACTGAGGAGTTTTTAATTTTACTAAATATCACAGGTGGTGTTATACATATTAATTTGATAACTTGACAGAAACCCAATCTCTAATTTGGGCTCCTAGTGAGCTCTGTCAGAGACCATTTTTCTAACTAAAGTATTCCTTATGTACACATGTAATGTACATACAAAGAGCTCGGCATCTGAACTTTCCAGATGTTTGAAAAGGCTTAAGATAATTGCTGAGGACTTGTTGCAAAACAAACTATGGGAATCTGATATAGGGAAATTAAGGTGAAAAGTAGGCTACAGAAATGACTTGGGCTTCTTTGTTCAAGACTTTTTTTCCTTTATACAAAAGAAGGAATTCTTTTGATTGATGACATTTCCTGTTTTTAAGAATGAAACACACTAAGTTAGACATTATGATTATTTATCAGGTAGTCTGACTGCTTTTCATTTAGCTAAGCCTCTCAAAAATAGAGCTTATGGTGTGTGGGGATTTAGCTCGGTGGTGCTGCCACCTGCCTCGAAAGTGCAAGGTCCTGAGTTCAATTACTGGTACCCACGCGCAAAAAAAAAGGTAAAAAAAAATAGTGTATGATTGAAGTTTGTCAAATTTGGCATTTGGGCTTTTGAGTAAAAAGAAAGTTGTCTGTGGGCTTATCATTGGGAAAACTCTTTAGTATAAGGGCATTGACTTTGGGGGAAAAGTCACAAGAAGATTTACATTTTAAATGAAAATGAAAAAACTTCAGGCTGCTGGTCATGATAGCTTGTGTCTGTGTCACTTAAACTCTGCTCAGTTCTGTGACCATCAGAACTCCCAAATCTGGTAGTATTTGGCACTAGAGGAGCAGATCATTAAAGTGGGGGCAGTTTGTGGAAAAATCTAAAAGTATAGTATGGTTAATGTAAACAAGTTACTGCATTATTAAGTACATTTTTATGGGGTTTTTTTCCCCCCTTTTGGTACTGAGGATTAAACTTGGCAGAACCACTGAGCTAAATCCTACCAGGCCCTATTTTGTTTTGTTTTTTTAAGCCAAACCTATGATGCTTTATAAATTTGTGGAAAGGATTAGTTGGCACTTGAGGAGTTTGTTTCTTTTTACTGTCTTTTCAGGCCCATTCTTGTGGGGAGGGCAGCAGACCATTTCTTTTTGTCTTATATAACCTTTTGTTTACAATAAAGGTGGTTTTATGTATGACTACCTAGAATGGAAAGAATACATTATATTTGGGAATTTCATTTTTTCTAGATTAAAGTTTTTGGTAATTATAACTTGTTTTAAAAATTCCTTGGTAATTTTTTCCCAAAGTATTGTGTAATAAAAGCTTAGGCCTTAGGTAAGGCAAAACTAGATTTTAGTTCTGGCCCTGGCTTGTTGGTGGAGCGATGCTGGTCTAATTAACCTAAAAAAGGCTCAGGTTTGACCTCTATAAACTGAGTATTCATATGTCAATTGAGAATAATAAATTTATTTATTTAAACCTCCTAGTATTCAGTAAAAATTCTGTAGGATAGGTTTTATTTTGTTTTTTGAGACAGGATCTCTCTATATAGCTCAAGCTGGTTTTGAACTCAATAGCCCACGGGGGCCTGGAACTCAGCAGTCCTCCTGCCTCAGCCTCCACGTATTTTGGATCTTAGTATTTTCATCTTAAAATGAAGATTTATTGAAATCTTGTACTTTAGAGCATGCTTTCACATTTATAGAGTATTTTAATAGCAAATTCACATTGTGTCTGTTACTTGCTAAATATCTAGAAAGTATATAACAAAAAATTTGGCAGCGCTATGTTCCTCTGAGGTACTTAAATGTAACTTTGATCCAGTCTTTTCTGCAGGTGTATGTTGGGGTTGCTGTGTAAGATTCTGTAGCTTGGCTATGTAACCGAAAGGCCTTACTCTATTGTCTTCCATATTACTGTGAAAGTACTGTAGAAAAATACTAGTGTTACTGTACTTGGGATTAAGAGTGAATTCTAATGGTGTTGGTGATGGGGAACGGTTAGGAAATGAATGCTTACTGTGTATCATCTACGTTCCTGACTCTAGAAACAGTTCTAGTTTCCTAGGGTTAATGTTATAATGCTTCCCCTTCTGCTCTTGACCAAACTACATTAGTTTGGTGTTGGTATCCTAATTTTAGAGATAAAGAGAAGCGATTCATGTTAAATATACACAAATAGTAGAATTGAAGTTGGGACTTAGGTCTGTGTGACCTAAAAACTGTTTTCTGGATTACATTATCCCAATACACTCTTCTTAAACTAAATTGTCATTTAGGAATTAAAGAGTTGGGAAATCTCAGTGCTTACTTAAATGCCAGTGAATTGTGATTGTTAATGTATTTAAAAACAATCAGGAAATTTGGGAGGATGACTGTGACTGTGATAGTCTTGTGATCTGTGCAGTACTGAAGAGTACTAGTCTTGGCAGCAGACGGGGATGTGACTTGACATCCAGGAGCTTTGGCAAGTGTTCTTGACAGCTTCCTGCTGTGTAGCAAATACAGTCAGCCCTCTGTGTCTGTGGGCACCTCATTCAAGGATTCAAGCAGCCTCAGATTTATGTAAAGTATGTGGCATCTGAATTGGAGTTATCCCATACAGATACCTAGGGATAGCTGAATATTGCCCAGCTCTTGCTACATGTTAGGTTGGTTCTGAGAGTTTGGAACATAAGGTTAAGGTACTCAGTGTTATTTCTGAAGTAACATTATATTACTGGCGCAGGACTAGGAAACTTGTTTTCTATTGTTTACCAAGACAAGGGGAAAAAAATTATCAAATGTGTTTTTCTTGCTTTATAATTTTTGTTTTTTTCCCATTGTAAACATGATATTATAAGATATTGAGAAATAGAAAAGAAACTACCTCATCCTCAGTATTGATACCATTTAGTTATAGTCCTTTGTTGGTATAACTGCAGTGTAGTATCAATTCTTTTAAGATAGAAAATAAAAAAGAATCATCTTAAATTAAGCATTATATAATTCTATATTTTTGAATATATAATCAGTATAATTGAAAATTGAGAGAGTTCAGTAAGGAGAAAAAATCGTGATAACAGACAATTCTGTCAAAGTGTTGTGTTTGTTTGTTTATTTATTTATTTATTGGCACTGGGGATCAAACTCGGGCCCTTGCGCTTGCAAGGCAGGTGGGAGAACCACTGAGCTAAATCCCCGGCCCCTGTATTTATTTATTTTTAAGAATGGTTGCTGTTTAGTTTAAAAATTGAAATAGTTCATGCAAAATTTGGTAAGTACATTTATTTTCCTGTCTCACTAATTTTTCCTAGTAAAGCACAATTTTTAACTTTTTTGTAGTGGAATTAAAATATTTCATTTTGAAGAATTTGGTATGATGTACTTTTTTTTAATAAGACTTTTTGATGGAGCAATACCTCCGCCTTGTGGCCTTCTGGAATATTGTTTCCAAAGTTATGCTTCCACAATGAACACAAATTAAATTGTTCTCTCTGTTAGACAAGGATTCCATCAAGTTAGTAATTGTCAGTTTTTACCACTTATGGGTGTTGAGAGTAGAAAATAAAATGGCTTGTGTCTAGGATTGCAGCTTTGTAAAAACATGGGTGTTTGAGGCAAATAATTGTATGGAAATGAAAACAGTTATGAGGTTGGTTACAGATACTGATGATTTGTATGAAATATGCAGTATTT